TTTTGCCTTATTGTTTCATTCCTAATTATTTATGCTTTGTAAACTGCCTAGAGTTGCTGCTGAGATTGACCAATTAAATAAATAAGCAATCCCTTTTCAGTTTAAAAAGGGTAGCAAGTAATAGAAGATCCTTTGATAAATGTCAGTGTTTATTCTGATACTCCCCATTTGTTTATGTTTTTTACATATGAAAACTGAAAGAATGATTCTGTTTGATACTGAGCCAGATACAATTATATTCTACATACATTCCTTTCAATCTCTGGGCAACACGGGAACTCTCCAGATGTTACATTTCTCAACATTGGCCATTCTGGCAATTTTGGAACTTGGAATTCAATAACAACTGATGGAACTAAACATGTGAAAGGAAGGCCAAAATCCCTGGTTTTAGTCAAAGGCTAAATGAAAAATTGAACTTTCCCCTAGCGTCTGGCGCCATCTAGTGAAACAAAAGGAAACAGCAATTGATACCAAGATTTCTCCTACCCTCTTCTAATTAGCTTCTTTGAGATGGGCAGGCAAGATGGTTATTATTTTTCACTCTTTTCCAGGCAGTTGGCAACGTCCATAAATTGGAATTATGACGCTCAACATTTCCAGTCAGCATGATAATGGGATCATTATAAAAGTAGTCCCATACAAGTGACAGGCATCAAGTTGGAGATTGCTACTATACAGATTATATACTGTATATTTTACCTAGAAGAAACCAGTGACCCAAATATATAACCGTATTATTAAACTAGATTGTCATTTCTGCATTTATGAAATAGATAAATGACAAGTATTTTATAGTTAGTTCATTTGGATTACTGAATGACTTTAAGGATAATGACTTTAAAGTCCAGGTTACCTGAGGGACCGTCTCACCCCCATCACATCAACCCGTCCCACCTGGTCAGGCAGAGAGCATGTTGTGGACCCCGTCAGCGAGAGAATGTCAGCTGGTGGGGCCCAGGAGAAGAGCCTTCTCTGCCATTGCCCCCAGCCTTTGGAATATTCTCCCCAGAGGAGTATGGCAGACCCCTACCCTCCTGGCTTTCTGGAAAGGATTAACGACCTGGCTCTGCCAGCTTGCGTGCCACCTTACTCAATCCGGGGGTGGCTGGCACCTTGATGACACTCCCTGAGTGACTGCCAATTTCATATCTATTCTTTGATCTATTTATTTTCTATTTATTAAGAGTATTGCATATTGTAATTTTAATTGATTTTAACTGTTTTGTAAACTGCCCAGAGTTGTTTCAATGAGATGGGTGGTGACAAATTTGATATATAAATAAATATAATAAAATATGCCTAAAATATTGAATAATACTTGAGAGAGCTTGGTCAAAAGATATGAATCAACTTATTCTTTTAAATCCAAACTGTGAGAGTTTAAATACTGTCAAACCCTCAGATTCAGATATTGTAATGGGCTGTGAGAATAACTTTGGGAGACAGGAGGAAGAGCTGCAGCTGTTCTGTTACTGTAACCTTACAATAAAGGTAGTATTATTACTCATGATTTTGGTTTCCTGTCTGGACTACCTTGAAAGGCTGACAGATATAAAGGAATCAGTCAATAATTCAGCTGGAATTGTCTTGTGTTAAAACTCTTCTTTAATGCATGACTTTTTAGAACTAGGCAATTTATCTGATCCTGGACAGGGGTTGAGAGACAGAGAGAGATCCAGCACTATGTAGAGGAATATGAAGGGATGGCTCTGGGATTTAACTCCCCATAGTAGGATGGATGGCATATCATTTTTCTGCCCAACCGTGCTGCTGAATTTGAGTGATATAGTTTTGAAGTGTGAACCATGCAAAACCCATACAATGAGCCCTACAACAGTTAACAGTATTGGAAAGTCTCCAGATCCAAATTTAGAAAAAAGAGAATCTCAGTCCCACTAAGAGATATAACGTAGCTTGCTCTGCATTATTCCCCCCCCCAGTGTCCCTCAACATGTAAAATAAAGATACCCTTAAATGTGGTTCCTAGCCACAAAAGGATTACCTACTCTAGTCCTAGAGATTTAGAATCTAATTTTATCTCTTTATGGCAAATTTCTGACTTGCCAGACAACTTCAAACCTATTAAGCCTAAGTTTTCATCTGAATATCAACTGTTAGTTGGATATTCAAAGGGAAGTTCTTCCTGTTGCACTGCACAACTACTTTCCCCTCTGGAGTCAGCATGGAGCCGCCCCCCCGCCCCCAGCAGATGGTATGTAGCTTTGGATCATTTTCCTCAATAAAGAAATGAACAAGTAAAATGTTTTTGACTCATTTGTTTAATTGGGTTCTCTTTATCTAGTTTTAGGACTTGTAGAGCAGTAGTCGCTAATAGAACTATCCTTTTTAAAGCCATCCAAGTTAATGGCCATCAACACATCTTGTAATAACGAAGTCCGTAAGCTACAGACAAAACACAGAGACCCGAGACTCATTTTCATGTATTGCTGACCACAGGAGAAAGATGCCCTAAACACTCTTTTAGAGCGCATGTCCTCATGACACAGCCTTTGTCTCATCTCCAGCTCACTGTGGAGGCAGCCTAAGTTCATCCCTAACTCTTCCAGTTTTAAAGTTGTGTTTTCCATCTTTTCCTGATACAAGTCTTGGTCTATGAACGATCTATGACACTTTGTTCATGTTATTGGTGATGGCATGGTGGGTGGCTGGCATATGCCAAGCTTCTATTGGCTGTTAAACCTGCTGTGGGCATGTCCCCTCCCCCCTGGTCACTGCCATCCATGGCCAGTTGGGTTCAGGCTGAAGAGAAACAAAAGACCTGATTTCCACAAAGCAGTATCGGATGTTCTGGAAGACTGCTGTGTCTGTTACTAGACCTGTGTTCGTTGGACTTGTCTTTAAAAAAAAGGCAGCTGGTTAATTTAAAATGGAGAATAGATGTACAGCATTACTAGTTCTGTCCCAAATGAGCATATTACAGGTTTTCAGCTGCTTCTAGCAACACAGGCTTTTGCATGTGCACGTTTGCTATTGTTTGTATTACTTTGGGAAGAAGGCAACGCCGTTTTGTCTACTGTAACGCCATTCTGCAGACTCCATGAGATATGACTGCGTATTGCTGACTGTGCATACTTGCTGCCATTCCTTTGTAGCATTTATTGATTTGGGATAGCTGGGAGCTGGGCTGAGATTCAAGTGGTGGAATATTGGGTACAGATGAGGGGAACTCACTGCTGCATTCACTGGATCAGAATTTATCAGGTAAGTAAACACATCACTAAGTTTGAAATTAGCATATAAAACTAATCCTTTCAAAATTTTTGCCAAATCTTACAGAAGAGGAATAAATGCTATTATAATTATTATATATAATAAGTTTATATATATAAATTAGTGCTAGCAAGAAGTCTGGCAGGGTGGGAAATATTTATAAAATCCTCTCTGCATAATCTGATATACAGTGACTTGCTAGCAAACCTCCCTTTGTTTAGGACATAAACACCAGGGAAGATACAAGTTTTAGATTTTAGTTAGAATCAGGGAAAGCAAGGTGACTATTTCACGTATGCACGATGAGCCACAAACCAATCAACATCATTTTCAGTACATTGTACAAACCCAGTCAATGCAGTTAAGTTTATGATTTATCCTTCATGCAAACCCAGAACATTAGCTAGTGCAAACAGAGGTTAAGTTAATCTTAGATCTCATACAAGCAACTGGTAAATGGAATGCTTGGATCCACTGGAGGGAAGGCATTATCTTGAAGAATCAAGGACAGGGCCTAAAATGCACGTGTGGTACATGGAACAGGTACAGCGTATCAGTGCCAGTACGTATTTGATAAAGGCTGTGGTCACACATGCTAAAACAGAGATCCCCATTCTTTTTAGATTGATGGGCACATTTTAAATTCTGAGAATCTTATGGGTACATTTGTTAAATGGTTACTGTGGGGCTCTGCCTGTTCTCCAAATAATTTTCGCCAGGGCCACATTCAAGTTCTATGATAATAACAGAACAATAAGACTGTGTTACACAAAATGGAGTAAAAGGCAGAACTCAAAATGCAAATCCTGTTTCTGTGTCACCCCACATTCAGGTTCTAGTTTACCAAAATGCAACATGACAGCCTTCACACGTTTTCTCCTATAGAATCTCTAGAATGTATGTATTTGTGGTAGGTGGACACCATCAGAGCGCTGGCTATAGCTGTTTCATCAATTTTATTCCTCCTAGAAGTCCATGGGATCCAGAATGGAGCCCTGCAGCATGCCCGCACCTTCCCATTTTTAAAAATAAAACTTATTTCTTTTCTATTTACAACACGAGATGGAACAGGAGCCTGGCCCGGGGTCCGCAAACGAAGCAACGCCCCGAGACCCATTCTGGGGACTCCAGCCCTCAACTACGCTTACATCACGATGGCAAGGTTCATACAAAACGCCAGGCCACGAATAAGCAAATCTCCCGTGGCTGGAGGTGAGCCGGTTCACACGACACGCTAAGCCACTTTACAGTTTGCTTCGGCTTTGTCACCGCAGTTCGTAAATCACGGTTTGACCTACTGCGCAAACACAGCCGCCGTCCACACCCGCGTCGCCCCGTCCGTTGGTCAGCGGCATACAAGAGCGACACTGACACAGGGCAGGGCCGGAGGGCCACGTCCGCGGCCAGCAGCGTTCACGTGACAGAGAGCTCCGACGTCCGGCGCGCGCCTCAGACCACAGTGCCCCCCCCCCCGCCAACCTCATATGCGCACTCTGGCCGCCCTCCCGTCGTTCGACCGCTTCGACAACGGTGCGGGGCTTCTGCACGGTGACGCCTCCTTATTGTGATGTAAGAAGGTGTCGTAGCGACCACAGTCAAAGAGAGGAGAGCGGCTTCCGCGGCGGGAGTTTGGCGCTGCGGCGGCAGGTAGGCTGGCGCGGCGGATATGGTGCTCGTGGCGGGGGGAGGGGACAAGGTTTCGTCACGGCAATGAAAGACTGGCGGTTTTGACGGTTTGTTTTCTTACCAGTGAGGAGGGGCTCCGAGAAATTAAGTTGGGGGGCGGAATGGGGTGGGGTGTAGCTCCAGCAGTAACTTAAGGTCCTCAGAGGCAGTTTGTAGCCGGTTGCGTAGGCTGCAAAGCAACTCTGGTTATTTATTCCTATGCGCCTGCGCCGTCTTTCCTCCAAGGCGATCAGAATTTTCTGGGAGTTTTTCACAGCAACCTTGTAAGGTAGGACAGGGCCTCCTTGTGGCCACGGGAACTGGCTGGGGTTCCGGCTGAATTTTGAGGCTCGTACTCCGGAGCATTATCCATCGTAGTAGGTCTTCGGCTCTGAGGATGAAGGTCGTTGTAGCCTCACGTATCTGGAAGGGACCAGAGGCGGCTTAATCGAATTCCCAAGCGCGTTTGGCAGAAGAATTACAGTACAGCGCTGGCGTTCAAGAAGGAATTGCTGGAATTCTGCCCTGTCTCTGGCTGTGTCGGTCAGCGGAACATTTAATTGTCTCTGAAGCATCGATAGCCGTAGCCTCTGCCAGCTGTGGGCCTGAATCTCCCTGCAGTGATGCAGTGGGCGGGCTCAGCGGGGGAAAAGAAAAACCTTTCTTTACCATCCAAATATTTCTTCCAGGCGTGAAGAATGAAGTGGGCCTGCCGCTTGCTTTAGTTTGGAGGCAAAGCAGGGGAAGTGGTTTTGGGTGGGGGGTTGAAGAAGTTGGTCTCTGCCCAGTTTTTCTTCTTGGCTCCGTTTGTGGCAGAGGCTGTGGTGGACCCACGGCACCCGCATTTCTTCATTTGCAGCTCCCCAGTTGTGGAATTGTGCAGGTGCAGGTGGGTTGTTCCCCTGACCCTCCCTCTGCCTTTTGATGGCTTGTAAACATGGCAGTTATTTTGGTCATGCCTTTGGTGTGAACTTTCCCTCTGACTATTGCTTAGCTGCTAGGATGCTGCAGTACAGTAGTCTATATTTTAGGCTCAGGGCTTATAATCATTGTTACTGTTTTCTTTCAATTAAAGAAATAAGTGACTAATTTAGCAATATTTAACTCTTACAGAGGTGCTGTTAAAGAGAGTTACAGTGGAGGAAGTTTCCTAAAAATGTCGGCACTGCTATTGTTCTATTAAGATGTTTAAAACCTGGGCCTAATCCAAGAGTAGGCATTGTGGTATCTATGGTTACCAATGGCTTTACAGCCATCTTCCTTGGCATTTATCAAATGTCTTGCCTCATCCAATTTTAAATTTTTTTAAAAAAGAGATTAACTTTCAAAACAATTCTTAAATAAAGTGCAGTGATGGGAATCTGGCATGCAGTGAAGCAGCAGCAGCGTCTTCAAGTACCAGAATGCATTGGGGGTCTTTCTTAGAAAATGGTGGTGACTACAGTTAAGCACAGTGCTTGAGAGTGGGTCTACTTCCCCTGGAAAATAGACAGGAAAGTAAGCTGGATGATAGAGACCAAGTTGTGGGCCAAGGTAGGGGCAGAGGGCCGCTTTCTGGAAAGTCAGTGTTTTGTGACTGAGCATGAACAACATTTGGGCACCAACGACACGTTCCCCAAATTTCAGCTTCCTTTGCCTTCCCCAAAGGATCCCCTTCCCACATGTCCTGTAGAGCCTGTCTAAAAGGAGCATTTTCCAATATGGCAGTCTCCAAATTCATGGAGTGCACCTTGCTCAAGAAAATAAAAACACTCTCAACTTACCCAGGAGACAAGTCTAATGAGTGCAGAAAGGGATTCGCTTGAGCTGCTGTGTCATTTCATGTACATCAAACTCTACTAATTGATAACTTGTGAAAATGTTAAATGGTGTACATGTGAAAGAAATGGGGACTTCCATAATGCGATAAAACCTTTATTCATTCTTAATTACTTAATACTGGTTGGCAGACCTTATATCCACTTTTTCTGGCTTCAGAAGTGTACCATCAGTCAGATATAGGTAACTTTGTGCTCTCCAGATATTTTAACTCTGATAATGCTCCATTGAGGTCATGGATACCATAGTCCAAAATGTTTGGAAAGCATTGGTTGGCCTTCCCCACCCTACATGCTTATCTTGTTCCTAAATAGGATTATAGTCCATCCAGAATAGGCTAATCTATCTCCCTTCCTTCCTTCTAATATAGTGGTAGTCACTTCTATTCCTTTGCTAAGACAATCCATTGTGAGTCCCCCCCGAAAAAAGCAAGATTAAATTTAGAAAAAATAAGGGAAATACGCAAAACCCTGTGTATAGGTCACAGATCCTTTTCGACATTTTCCTTCAGAATTTAGACTACTGGAAGGCACAATTTTTGAAGACTGTCCATGTGGAATTTGTGCTAATGGGAAGACTCTTATTCCTGTGTAATATTTTTCCTTCTGCTTCACTTACAGTTCATGTGGGGTTACCCCTGATATTAGCTGTTGCAATGGGGTCTTCACACTCAGTGGACACCAGTAACTATTGCTCCAAGAAGCAGAAAGAGAGTGATGAGGATTTGTTGGCCAATAAAGATCGAGAAGAAGACATTGCCAAGTTTCCGTATGTGGAATTCACTGGACGAGACAGCATCACCTGCCCCTCCTGCCAAGGCACTGGCTGCATTCCCACAGGTAATTTTATGTGCCCTGCTTTCATTGGATGGTGAGTCTTTTTGGACTTGAACATTTCATGGTTCTAGCATGCCACTCTCTCTTCACTTCCTACCTTCAGCATTTCCTTCTCCTAATTCATGCTCTGCCTCAGAGGTGTAGTGGTGACATTTGAAGGGCAACTTTCTTGTCAAGTGAATGGATGGCATTGAAAACTTACTTTGCACTCTCTGATTGGCTTATCACTTTGATCTAGCTTTGTTAGCATAAAGTGAACCAGTTGCTTGCCCTGCAGAAGTCCTCAGTGTGGTGTTTATCATTTGTTGCTTTGACTGACATAAGGAATGATGACCTAATAGGGTTAGGGTTGTTTGGAGTATTTTGTTTCAAGGCAGGACTCGGGCTGGATGTTCTTGGGATCTTTTCTGCTATGGAGTTCTGTAATCTGACAGCCAGTGTACTTCATCATGGTCTGGTTTTGAGAAGTTGTTCCACCTCAGTTTATCTTCTTGATTCTCTTATCCCCCACCCCTATTTGTTGCCATGATCACATCTAAAATTACCAAAGTCCATGGGGTTGACCTGCCTGCAATTAAGTCTTTCCTCAGACAAAAGCTTTGACAGATCTGGTTTACATATCACACTAAGGCATAATGTGGTTTCCTTGTGGTATGAAACCCTGCTATTTGGACTAGTAAATTGTGGTTTACAGCTTAGCATAATGAGTGAAAGCAGACTGGATCTATTCCTGTCTACCTTACATTGCTTCTAGTATGTGATGCAATGTCTTCTGTCTGGTTCCTGAGATTTACAACTTCACTGGTATGTTGCATATCATCTAAAACAGTGACTTAGAGAGCTTAGTTTCATTACTGCCACATGAAGTGAAATCTTGCTTAAGCTATTTCTTCCAGTTTATTTAGATTAAAAATTCCTGGGAGACCATACATGGTCTCATGCTCCAGAGAGATTCCTCTGTTTTACAAAGCTTGTCACATGTCTTTTGCTTGGTAACAAGACAAAAATGTAGTTTTTTTAAAAAATGGTGTGTTCTTCACTTCCACTGGTAGCTCACAGTGCATTTAAAGTAAGACTCTAAAAAGTGGTCAGTTCTCTCTGTGACACGGAGAGGCTGGTACTGATGTTTATTATTGCTTTTTTCTTTAGAGCAAGCTAATGAATTGGTTGCTCTGATACCATACCATGATCAAAGATTGAAACCTCAAAGAACGTAAGTACAAAAGAAGAATTAATTTCTTTTCTTGTGTTACCTATAGAATTCGGGCAGGCATGAAACAAATATTCAGCTGAAAAGTGACTTGTATTTCCAACTCCACCCATATCAGTTGAGAATGCTTGGCAAACCATTTTAATCCCTAAAATGTCTGGGGGCTTCTGGATTATAACCTAATATGATCAGACAGCCAAAATAATTTGTTGTCCTCAGTTTGTCCCTGTTATTACCAAGTGAATTCCAGCATATCTGGTGTTGAATTAAATAGGAACCTTTCCTAAATGCATCTTATTTGGAGGCAACTGTTGTCATTTTTTCAGTGCATCTTAGAGCATCTCTCTCACTTGATCTGTTCATGATTGATTCTGAATGGGTCTCATTTCAAATAATTTAAGTCTCAGATGTGGAAATGTCCTTGAACAAGGAATATTGATTGACATGTATATGGTGAGAGACATTTTCATGGACGGAACTGAGAAGTATTGCTTCTGGGATGAAGGTTCACAGGGGGAATACTTTAGATGAAGCAGGGTCTAGTCTAGGGTTGAGGACTTGGTGATTCTTCACATGCTACTGGATTACAGTTTTCAGTATTATTATATCATATACAGACTGGGGTTGCTGGGAACTGGAGTTAGCAATATGAGGAGAATCCTGGGTTAGAAATTTCATTTTCCTCAGTGAAGTCTTACCTTTAGGTTTTGATATAATTAAATAACTGCTTTAAGTTTCTCAGTTGCATTGTAACATCTTAAAAATAAGGGGGTTGCAGCATAGGCTTTCACAAATCCTCACTTGACTGATTGAAACTGTGTAGCACACAGTGCCCTGGAAATGAACAGTATGAATGGCCAAAGCAGTTTTAAGAATAGTGGTTTATAATCAGGGTTTGCAATAGAAAGATTAAAATAGAGAAGGCTTATCTTTATTTTTAAAAAATCCTTCTCAGCTTTATCTCTTGTGTACTCAATGAAATTAGCTGTGGAAGTGGGAGATTGATTGAAGTCTTAGCCGTGGCATGGGAAATCTAATTTTTGCTTAAGATTGTACAAGGCCTGTAGGGAACAAAAAGCATTTGAATATCATATTTGCCTATTTTTAGGCTATGATGAAATATTTTGTCGTAACTTGTTATTGGCCTGTGATTTGTGTCTCCAGAAAAACTAAGGTGCATTTTAGAATGGTTGGGAAGATTCTCATATACAGTAAAGTCATTTTCCAGATCTTATTATGTCTGATATGTGGACTCAGAATTTTGCAAACAGTAAACAACAATACTATGTTGAGATGCATTAACGAATTAAACAATAAGTAGAATGTCTTCAGTAGAATGTCCATTGCTAAGTGGAGCATGGAATCGTTTGCAACACAGCAAGATCTGGCTGCTGGACCTGAGCACAGAAAGCAAACTGACTGAACTATTGGCCTTGTCTTCTGCAGGAAGCTCTACGTCTCTGTGTCAGTGCTGCTCTGTCTTCTGGTGTCAGGGCTGGTTGTCTTCTTTCTCTTTCCACATTCAGTGCTTGTGGATGACAATGGCATCAAAGTGGTTACAGTCTGGTTTGATGAAAAAAACTCCCTTGTCATTCTTGCCATCACGGTAAGGTGCCAGTGCATTAGCTGAATAAAGTTAGACGGCCAGGGTGACTGGAAATCTGTTTTCAGCGGTTTTCCTTCCTCTCTCCTATTCACAGGCCACCCTCCGGATCAGGAATTCCAATTTCTATTCTGTAGCAGTAACCAGCTTGTCCAGTCAGGTGCAGTACATGAACACTGTGGTTGGCACCCAACAAATCAACAATGTTACTCATATCCAGCCACTGAGTGACCAGCTGGTATGGCAGTTATTTTACTTACATGAAAACTGGGATCTAATGGAGAGAGGCACTGTGTGTGAGGAGAACAGATAGTCTTCTAGCTAACTCAAAGATTGCTTACACTAGTGAAAGGCAGTTTGGCTCCTATGAGAATTGATGTCCCCATGGACTTCTCTGTTGGTTCCTTGCAATGTGACTTTATTTGTTAGATTATTCTACTGAAAAGTCAACAGATGGGAAGCTGGCATACTCCAAAGTACTCCCCATCACATCACGATCTATTGTGGTGAGCTGCCCAAAATTACGCTCTAAGATGGGTGGCCCTACCCATAGTCAAGAGACATTCTTTACTCATATATTAAATATATGAGTAAAGAATGTCTCTTGACTCAAAACAGACCCCACATGTATTCTGAAAAAAATGCAGTGCCTTGTTTTATTTGGAAATGTACTTATTTGTTGCCCCCGCCTCAAAAAAAGAGGAAGATAATCTGGGAGTGTTGAGGCCATCTGGGGATATGGGTGCCTCATTGTTAGTTTGGAAGGTTTTTTTGTGACTGGCACCATCCACTATGGCATCCTCTTTGTGAAGAAGCAAGCTCTTGCTTTCAAGACTCCGAATTTGCCAACTGCCCCCCAGACTCCTTTGACATTGCTAGCTTATAGTTAATTCACGACTTCTGTTTTTCCAGGTGAATTTCACCATGAAAGCTGAAATGGGTGGACCTTATGTATAGTGAGTAATTTATGTTTTGGTATTTGGGCTGTAATGAAGATCTACAGTATTTGCTATAGGATAGCTGCCACCATGTGATGGAATGTGAGGGCGACCTTGGAAGACGGGGGGAAGAGATGCTGCCTAGGGAACGATTAGATAAAAGAGAAAGGGGTCCACAACAGAGTAAGGGCCAGAGAAAGAAACTTAGGAAGGACCCGCCCTAACTACTCAGGCAGTAAATAGGGAGGGCAGAAGATTGTACTTTCAGACTTACAAGATTCTGTTAATGTAGCCTGACAATAAAGGAGAGTTAGCTTGTCTAGTCGTGTTTCCTGTCTGGTTTCCCTGGGAGGGCTGACCTCAATCTTGCAAGTCTGAAAGTACAAATCTCCCACCTTCCTTATTTACTGCCTGAGTAGTTAGGGCGGGTCCTTCCTAAGTTTCTTTCTCTGGCCGTGTTGTGGACTCCTTTCTCTTTTATCTGATCATTCCCTAGGCGGCATCTCTTCCCCCCGTCTTCCAAGGTCGCCCTCGCATTCCATCACACGCTGCTATGTTCCCTAATAAAATTTCAGCTACCTTGTCTTACTTCTGCAGTAGAACTACAGCAGCTCCTTCTGTGCTAGAGAGCCAGTGGATGGATATAATTTATGTGTAAACTTTCACTTGTGTTCTAGGCTTCCAAGGATCATGCCTGCTTACTCCCATTTGGCCAAATTTAAAAGCTTTTTCCTTGCATGCTTCCATGTCAAATAAAAGAATATTGGGTGTACCTTCCTGATTCTTCAGAAGCCATAAAATCCCATGTAATCTTTCTCATTGCTTCAAGCTGCTGGAAGAACCCAAGCCTCTTTTGAAATATTTTAATTGTATGAATGGCCTGGAAAATATGTGTAGAATAAGTATTTTCCTTATCATTCTGAAAGAAAATTGATTCCTAAAGAGATGTTGCTGTGTCAATCTTTTAAATTGCATCTCTGCTAAATGTTGTATATTCATAGCCTGGACATTTTTTTAAACTAATGTAGTTTCAGTGCTGGTGACTTTCATAATTGGAGTTGGAGGCTGAATACTGCAGCACATTGTGACTGATTTAACAAAAATCCTTATTTATAAAAAAATAGTCCATATCTCAAATAAAGTTGAAAACAGACTTGGCAATAAAATCTGCTAAAGTTTAAATTCAAAAAGCACTGGGCTATATTATGTACTGGACATAGAATAATAGTTGTCTTAAGACTTCTTGCATCATTTGGTTTTCTAAATTATTTTAAGATTTTGTGATTTTCTCTCTTTTAGTTTCTTTTGCACGCTACCCAAGATCCGAGTGCACAATATTGTGATTTTCATGAGGTGTGTAGCTCTTACGGGTTTTTTATGTGTGCGTGTCTCTTGGATTACAAACTTATCTGAAAACACTCCTCCTTCCTGTTCTATATTTTCAGATATAAATCCCTAACTAGTTATGAGTTCATTTTCTGGTATTGGGGAGAGGGTCAGTCACCAAATAACTTTTTCTTAATCCCCAAAACCCTCTTTAATAATGCTGCTGATTTTTGACAGCACAGTTGCCAAAAGCTGGAATTATGGTTTGCTAAAAAAAAACAAAAAAACTGGAAAAGTAGTAAAACTGTTATGTATACCCTGGAATAGGCTTAACACATTTAAAATAAAAATCTCTCCCAAAGTAATTTTCCCCTCCCCCCTCATTTAATGTTTCCTTCCCTATTGTTTTCTTATAAAAACACCAAGTGAACCACCCAGGTTTAGTAGAAGCAGAGGGAAGGTTGGTTGGACCCTTTATATGTCAGTAGGCCCCAGATTACTCTCTGAACTTGACCACTGCTGGTGCTTAGCAAACCTGCCTTTTGCTGAACTGTTTTCTGGGCTTCTGAAGGGGAAGAGAAGAGAGGAGCTGCAGACAATTTAAACCAGGTGGGGAGTCTGTGCCCCTCGAGATCTTGTTGGTCTCTAATTCCTACCACCTTGGGCCTCCATGGCAGATGGTAAAAGACGCTGGAAATTGTAGATTTCGCTTCTCTACTTTAAATGCAGATAGTTTTATTAATATATAAATGGTGCCCTGGTACTCTGTAGATAGGTTTTGTATGCAGCTTAATGAGCATTTCTCCAATGTGGAGCTGCTGTAGTTATATGTTGAATGATACAAACATTCTGGCCCGTAATCTAGTATTTCAGTATAGGTATACGTTGTCTGGAATCCAGTTACTTTTGGTTTAAGAAAGAATTCTGTCTTTTTCTCTTTGCTTCTGCCTTTTAGAACCTCAGTGAAAATCTCCTACATTGGCCACATATCTCAAAGTTCCTTGGAGACGTACAATTACGTTGACTGTGGTGCAAACTTCACAGCTGCCCATTCTGGTCCTTAGTCCCCAATTCTAGAAGATGAAGCTCAAGAGGAGGCCAGCTTAAGTCAGCTGCTTATACTGGTGATCCTAACTCTCCGGCTTCCATTACTGTGTAACGTATGGTGGAATTTGTGTCTTTGTTTTGAGGAAGAAGAAGAGGCTGTTTTAGCCCTTGGCAAAAAGAAAGGGCTGGGCACGCAGCCTTCCTTCCACAATTTTGCATGGACAGCTGGACTGCGCCTTGGTGCTGTTTTGAAGAGGATCTGTTTAATTCTCCCCTCTCCAGTCCCTACCTTCTCTTCAGGCACCAGTTTGTGATTTTTCTGTTGTTATTCCTCACTGACTAACCTTGCTTCTTAATAAGATTTGTCAAGTTTACAGGTTTCTCCATTAAAATTTAAGAAAGGATAAGTTTCTGAAAACGTTTCGTTCCTTGTTGGGCTGGACTACTAACCGTGAAACATATTCCAAGACTTCTGACTTTGTTACTGCCAATAAGGGAGCTACTATCTAATTGTAGAAAGGGAATTAATCTCGAATAAGGTTTCAAACTTCTGTCTTGCTTATTGTCAAAGAGAAACAAACCAAGAATATTTGTAGAATAAGCCCCACTGAAACATGAGAATGTAGCAACAGTTACAGCCTTTATAGGTGAGATTCCTATAAATGTAATGTGTCTTTTCCTGGACATAACTTTTAAAACTACTTTCATAGTTCTGTGTACACCATTCCAAAGAGCACCCTGTTCACTTAAGAATTCTCACATTTACTGAATCTATTTTGATTTTTTTTGCTTTTAAGAATGAGCATCATGGAAGGGTTTGAGATCTTCAGATTTCTACAGAAGCAGTGAGCACTTTTTAATCCTTGTATCTCCAGAGTCTCTGAATTGGGGATTATAGTGGCTTAGCTGGCCTTTATTATTAGCACAGAAGCTTGATTGTTTGGGTAGGGATGGGAATACTTTGTTTTCTGCAAAGAGAGATTTATCTTAGTGTTGGTGTGTAGTGCTTCCTCTCTTAAAAAGATCAGTATGGGATAACTTCAGACAAATATTTAAATAGTAACATTAGACTTGGAGAAAGATAGATCTACAGCAGATAATCTTATTTTTTCAAATACCAGTTAGCAGTTCATCTTCTTAAAACATTTTCAGTGTTCTAACTCATCTGCTACAGTTTCTTTATTTGAAGAAGAAAAAGAAACCTATTTAAACTTGAAGTAAATTTTAAATTTTATTTTTTTACTATTTAAATGATGGGGGAATTTATGTTCATTTAGAATCTGTACTTTTCAGCTTGGCAGACTGGATTCCTAAAGAATAAACCCTTAAATCTTCTCTTTTGAGGAGTCTGCTGGTTTTTCTTTATCAAAATGGACTTGTTTTATTTTTTACTTTAGGGGGGCTAATGGAGACACAGAAGGAGCGTTTCAGGACTGACACTAAGCAGCAGCTGCAAATAAAACCCATTGAGTTTGAAGCCTGTAAGGGTGAGGAAGCCAACAACTACTTGTAACTGTAATGGATTATTGCTCAGTGGCATTTTCCCCCCAAATAAGTCTTAATCTACTTGTTTTAACCACATTTCCTATCTACCAACTCAATTTACAGATCACCAATTATCATACTTTAAATGAAGATACAGTAAAACCTCAATTCAGCAGACTTGTGAGGCAATGGGCAACATTTTTCTTTCTTTTGCTTCACCCCCAAATAACAGACAGAAGCCCATTTCTGGACAATTTACATAATTCACACCATTTGTGTCACGCAACTGGTGTAAATTGATGCAAATGACCTAATTCTGGAGTTAACAGGTACCCCTTCCCCTCTAGTCCATTAATTTGAGGTTTTCCTGTAATGACCATTCATGCAGCAGTTTACAGATGAAGGCATTGCTATAGCAAGAACAGGTGAGAATGGCTAGTAGGAGAAGCATTTATCATGCAGCGCATGTATTTTGAGTATGTGGTGGACAAAGTTCTCATGAACGTAGATGTATTTAGTTGTCTCTGTATGTATAATACTACAGCAAGACACCAACAGGAGCTAAGTAATAAGGGGTAAAGCAATGTGAGTTAAGCAAATGCTCTTAGGAATCTTCCTGCCCAACTATTTGCCAAGTTTTTCCTACTTCTGTCATCTTAATCACTAGATTTTGGTGTAATGGGGTAAAAGATACACAGGAGATGATCAAGTGGAGAGAATTAGAGAATTGTCACTTTCTCTTAGACTCCTGGGAACACTGAAGGGCTTCTGAGATCTCCTGAATATCATGTCCTTAGCTGGCATTTGACCAATTGTTACAAGCTCCGTTGCTATCCCTCTCCTTCTCCTTCCCAGTATAGTAATTTTCAAGAGGCCTAATGTCTACCTTCTCCCAAATGCTCTTCCTTATTTGCTGCTGCCACAAAGAGAAAAAACATGGAGAGAAGCATTCCCACCCACCTGCAATCCAACTCTGGAGAGCTATCACAAGAAGGAATAATCAGTCACTGTTATTACATCTTCTTACATTGTCACATACTTACAAGTTACAATCCAAGAGATTACAACAGCTGCACAGGGCCAATAATATCAGCTCTGGCACTTCCACATTCCCCCCCCCACTTCCCCCCACCTTACCTTTCTAACCCCAGATCTGGGGCTTGCACAAGAGGCTCTCCCACAAACTTGTGCTGAACTGCCAGCCCCCAAAGCATAAATTACATTCAGTGTTGACGGGCCAATGCCCCCTCCTTTCTTCTGACCCCCAAGGCTGGATTCAAAAGTGCTTGGAAGCCATGATGTGCAGGCCTCCCAACAGCCTGCTATGCTAATCCAGCACTGCTTGTCGTACCGTGGAAGCGGCAGCAACGTGGGTGCAGCTATCCTCTTGGCACCGGGCCTTTTGGGTTCCATCTCACAGCTAAGGGGCATGGGCCTCGTGCAACACAATCGCCAGTACATTCAAGAGCTTGTTCAGATTCAGAAGGGCAAGAAAGCCCGAGGTGTCTAAGAGGTGATGTGGCCTGGCTGGGCTGTGCCCTTGCCCACACGTCCAGCTCTAGTGGTACAAACCAGCGGCCAGAGGAATAAGATCAGGCTGGTTTTGACCAGAGGTCAGTGAGATGGAGCCGGCTATTGTAGCGGCTGCTCCAGCCCAGATCTGTCCACATTGGGGAGGGAGGATTCATTGCATTACCCTGATCACAGATTTGAAATAAAGCCTGAGACCACATCACTCATCACAACCACACAGATGCCCCTGCCACAACAGTGGAGAGGAGGCCTGTAAACACTTGCACCAGGAGAGCTGCCAAACTAGAAACAGAAGAAAGAGTGGGAAGGATTGGATCCTTCTCAAAACGAAGCCGTAAACTAGAACAAAAGTCAGAAAGGGGAGATAATACTGGGAGGAGTGAAGAAAGGAGCTTTTTACAAATGTTCCTTCATTTCTTTCTTTTAAAAAAAGACTCTTCTTTTAACAGCCAGGCTCTATGTTGCTTTGGAAGAACTCTCCCTCAGCTGCTCAGTATTTAGCGTCAGGAGGATGTTCAGCATCCATAAAAGATGGCCTTGTTGAATTCCTCAGAGATGCCCAGAGTTTGCCTCACCACAGTTGAGCCCCCTTCTGGTCCTGGAACCAGCTGCCTCAACCTTTTGCTACCTCCTCTGAATGATCTATAAGAGGGAGGCACCCTGGGGCCTTCAAAGGAGTGTAAGACATACAGCTATTTTCAGTGCAAAGATCAGGCACCGGACCTGAGGAAAGTTAGCAGAAGGAATGTGTTTCAGTGCGGCTTGAAGGAGGAGTGTGCTTGGTGTTTCCGAGTGATGGCAGGGAGATCCTGAGTCTAAGTCTAAGGGTGTCTGGCAAGGCAATAGGTGGAGACGGCTGCTAACTGGTCTTGGCCTAATACAGACAGCCCCCCACCCCCTGACTTGGACAGGCTGGGGTGTGGGATGCTGGTGGCCACCGCAACAGCCTCATGACATTTCAAATTAAAACGCTTCACAAAACAGGCATTAGGAGCTGTGTCTGCTAAATAAAGATATGTTCTCTCTGTTGGATAAAGGAAAATGCTCAAAAGAGTCAGTAGGTGGTTTTTACTGCCTGGGGAAGTTAGGATGCTGTGTTTTATATTAGGATACTCCCACTGGGCTGGACTTGAGCAAGCATCTTCATTCCTGTTCTTGTACACACTCCTTCGTAGAAGATGAAGGAGGCTGACCTACAGCCCCTTTAATGCGCCACAGCTCGAGTGCCTTCACTAAGCCCAATACCCTGACACAAGGAGGAGAGGGGTTGTGTCAAGTGAGTGACACAAAGGTTCTCTCTTGAACCTTCATCCCTCAGTGCTATTGTCATGACAAACTCTCTTGGACCCTTCAACACTCCCCCCATATTGTCATATTTTGGGGGTCCATAGAAGCGGTTAGTTCAGTTTAGTCACCAACCACTGCAGTAATGCTGATTTACATTCCGCCTTCAACACTTCTTACAAACCCAGAAAGAAAGGGGGAGCCAACACCACGTAAACCCCACTCGCCCCTCTCATTTCCCAAAGTCTTCATTGGGAAGACGACAACATCAGCCCAGGCCCTAATTCTTTGCTCCAAATACTGGGATGCATTGCTCTCAATTCTCTGTAGGCTTCTCTGATAACCTGTCTGGAGAGATGGCTGTTGCCCAGGACGTCAGCAGAGCAGCTCAAGGCCTGGCAGTAGAGAGAGCTGTGAGACAATGAGGTGGTCTTGGTGATGGCAGCCTATGCCAAGCAGAACCACTGAAGTTGGGCTCTGGATGGTAACCACCACCTCCTGTGCATGACAGAAGTCATGATCCATGCTCCTTGGCATTACAGTCTAGATGCCAGAGGGGAGTGGCATCTCCTTAAGGAGAGGAGGCATCAGTCACTGCACTCTTGCTGGCACCATTGGGATGGGGAAGAGGCTCCCCCTGGCATACTACACCAGGGCAGTTCGGGCCTCCGTCCTTCCCATGCTGGCACTGCTGCTTTTCCGGCGCAGGCCTGGGGTGGCAATAGTGCTGTAGCCTTCATTTGGGCAACCATGTTGCATTAGGATGTCAATGCATTCTTGGCTTCCTGCTCGGCGAGCGTAGAAGAGTGCTGTGTGCCCCACAGCATCATGGGCCTTCACGTCAGCACCATACTGTGGGAGAAAGAATGAGTGAATAATGTTAGGAACTCCAAAACTCAAATCTCTCTTCTGCTCTTGTATACGTAGGACTGGGACTCATCTGGAAGCTGGAAACCTAGAACTTCAGTAAGGAGTGGAGTATGCTGTAGTATGATCGCCTCTCTCAAAACATGGGAGGGAGTTATTTTCTTCAGCCCTTGTTTCTTTTGGTACTTTTTTGTATATTTTCCCCAAACTACACAATGTTGACTAGTACAGTCTTAGATCTTGTTCCAGATCTCCCTAACTCCACCAGTATCAGGTTTTCAATGGTATCAAAACCATGGTGAAATATCTCTCCAAAATTTTCACCCAATGCTATGGCTGGTCCCCACTTCTGCCAAGCGATGGTTTTTCTATACCTCCAGAAGGAGCCTAATTACTTTCCACTGGAGGAACAGCATGAGTTGTTTGTTCAACTGCAACTAGGCTGTAGGCTAAGGATGACCTCTGCATTTTTATGTGATGTGCTGATTTTTGGAAAAGCACATACATTGTCCAGTTTTAATTAATCAAAGAGAAACATAAAATAAATCTGTTAAGCAGAAGTAATTTTGGCCTGAGATAGTTATCGCCCTAGCTGCACAGGGCACTGGGAATAGGATATTGGCTAGAGCTTCTGTTCAGTTTCCCAGGCACAAGTGTTTTCCTTCAGTTGCTATATGATGCTTTTTAAAGAGAGATGAAGGGGATTGAAACTTCTGCATGCAAAGCCTGTGCTTTACTACTAAGTTCTGCTTCATCCCTGTTGCATAGCTTATGAGTGAAGATCACACAGGCTTTGGACATAATGTAAGTTTTTGCTTGCTTGTTTGCCTCAGCGCAGAATACACCATGGTTGTTGTAAATGGATCCAATTCATTTACCAGTCTGAAGAACTATTTTCAAGCTACTACCAACCTCCCACATCTGCATGGAGCAAGAACAACACTGTGTGAAATTTGAAAGATAGCATTTAATGCCTACATACTGAAATTATGCATGCATTACATTCTCAGAAATTAATGTTCTGACAGTCAGCCCTAGGCCACCTCTCTATATGCCAACTTTTCCCCTCCACAGCATGCCTTCCCTCTTTATTTTTTTAGAGTGAAGGAGAATCATTAAAGAGAATTCCTGCTCTCCTTGGATTTAAAGCATGTTCTACTGCCAAGAACTTACCCAGACCAGAAGCTGGGTGATAACCACGTGTGAAAGGTCACATGCCACATGCAGAGCTGTGCGCCGGTCCTTGTCCCCAGTTGGAGCATTGATCTGTTCCTTGGAGCTGTGGGCCAGCAAGAGCAGCACAGCCCCCAGGTCTTGGTCCAAGACAGCCTGGAACAGTTGGCACCCAAGGGACAATTCAGAGTTGGGTAGTGGTGCCAAGAATAGTCGTTGCTCATATTTGGCTCGAATCCAAGATTCTCGCTCTTCCCTGAGAAAGGAAAGCAAGAGAGAGCCTGCTAGCTGGGATCACAAGAGTCTCTAAACTCAGAGACTGCCTGCTATGAAAAACACACTGGGTAAGCAAAACATGACAGGTTCTTATGCAGAGATCGCCCAAGGGATGGAAGAACAGGATAAGCATGAAGTGGATGAGCAAAATTCGGACACCCAAGTACTGATTCCGCTGTGGTGAGAAATTCAAGATGGTTATATGGACCTCTTCTGACCTAAGAGCTAGGATGTTTCTCAGGTCCCATCTTGGGATGGGTATAGATGTCAAATGGTGGAACTCCTCTTTCCCCAAAGCTCCCCCCACCTTAGCATAGCTTCTTCTTCTAGACAGAGAGGGGTACAGAGTGATGATTGTCCGCAAGGAAAGATGGTTGAATTAAAGGTATAATCCTGCCCAGAGTTAACCACTTTTGAGTTCATTAACTCCAATGGGGAATTATGCATTCTCTCCCCCACACCAAATCAGCAACACTGCAATGCCCCAACTTTAGCTACATCATGCATGTTAGCAGTAATTTAACTTGCCTGTGTGTTGACCCAAAGTGTGCCATGGTGCTTACTCCCAGGTAAGTAAGCACAGTGTGACTGCATAAGTCCCCAAGCCTGCACTTTCACTACATTATGTGACTATTTGCACTTACCGTGATGACTCACAGGTGGGTTTCCGGCGTCCCTGTGTGCACTTCTCCCAGACGCTGTTGGCTGTTTCATTACCAATGGAGGTGAGCACCAGTGTCAGCTCTAGGGGCCAGTCATCTAAGTCAAGGGAGCGCACACGAGACAGGTGGGTGCCCAGATTCCGGTGGATGCCAGAACATTCAATGCAGATCAGCGCCCCCAAGTTCAGGCTGGCCCAGGTTGGATCTGCAGCAAGGAAACTGGATGAGTTAGAAAGTGGGATGAGGGGAGGGGACTGCCCTTCCTTTTCAAAGTGAAGACCTGTTATTCTGAACTAAAGGAATGTTCTGATACACTAAATCCCAAGTTAGGACAAGAGATCATATCTAGCCGAGTGAGAATCCCAGTGTGGTAAAGGGAAAACCCCAGCCTCCTTGGGAGTAAGCCTTAAATATTAGGGAATATTTTCAGATTTGGGCTTTTTTTGAGGGGGGGGAGCTTTTATAGAGGAAGGAAAAGGAAAGACAAAGAAGAGGAAGAGAGGGAACACAATCTGGCCAGCGAAAGGGAAGGGTGGAAGGGACTTCTCTCCAGAGCCCCATAAATTCCCCCAACCTTTAAAGAGGCCCAACCTTGAAATAGCTCCCTTCCCCAATGGAGAATCAAGCAGTTCCCTTAAAAAGGGAAGCAAGGGAGCCAACTGTTGTAAAGGAGAAGGGCCACAGAAAGTCCTCTGCTGAGGCTGGCATGCCAAACTTGCCTGCTGGGGAGGGAAAGACCAAAGGACAGAAATGTCTGCACTTGAAATGGCTTATCTCTTTAACTAGACATCATAATTTGATATAATAATTGTCAGGCTGAAGCTTCAAAGGAGACTTTAAAAAAAAAAAAAAGGCCTGTTCCTGAAAGCTTAAAGGAGCAGGTGGGAATAACTTCAACTATATTCCTACTCCTCTGGTGTGTCCTGCCTTTGCCTTCTTCTTCTTTGCATGCCACTGGCTGTGTTGGCTGGAAATTCAAGAGTGCACCTGGTTGGAGAAGTCTGACCCACCCCATACTTACTTAGTGCCCCACAATCCACGCACAAGGAGTTGCCTTTGGCATTTCGGATAGCCTGGATTGCCACCGCTTCGCTCTGGCTGTCCATCCGGGCCTGTTGGGGAGACAGAAGACATCTAGATGCTAAAATGCCCACTTCTTCAGGGGTTACTTCAAAGGCTGCCCTAATTCTGAATGTGGCCTTGCAAGGTGGGATAAGCTGCTATTCCTTCCAAACCTGTATGAAATTCTTGGATGATGTCCTGTTTCCATTCCCAGGTGCAACAGGATTGTCCCTGTGGATACTGTTCTTTCCCTGTGCTTTCCGTGTTTGATATGAAAGGAACAAATGAATTGCAAAGCAGGGCTTTCTTTGTGGCAGGACCTACTCTGTGGAATATTCACAAAAGGAAACCCTCTTTTTCTTCTCCAACAGATCAATCAGTTTCCTTCCAAATTCTTTGTGTGTGACTAGCTTCTATTTTTCCTGCTGTTTAAATGCTTGTGAATTGCTTTGATTGTTTCAAATGCGGTTGAGCTTTAATAACCATGTGCAAATAATGCTCAAACTGTTCTTACCAAGATGACAGATCTGTGTCTGGGCTAAGATGATAGATGAGAATTCACATGAGAGGCAGGCAGGCAGGCAGGCAGGCCGGCCGCCAGCCATGGGGTGGAGGTGGGGAGCTAGGCTCGAACTCTTTTCCCTTATACATTTACATTATGTGCAGAAATGTTTTAATGGATGAGGGTTAATTCATCTGAACCCCACAGTTGAAAAACAAATAGCTCAGAAACAGATTTAGCCAATCAAATAAAAAGCTTAGTAATATTTAATATTTTGCAAATGTCCTTGTGTAATTATTGGTAAATTACTCACATTTATTCTTTAATCCTTTAAAATGTTCTATCCCTAATTCATGTTAGGTCTGGGGATAACTAACTCTCTTCTCAGCCTATTTTCCAGCTCTCGTCCTAATAAGATGCTCTCTGTGTGTTGCACCCCCACATGGGCAACGGTGGTCTCTCTGTAGCACCTCTTTTTTGCCTGCTTATTCTTTGCTCCTGGCCTTTCTAGGCCTTCAGAGTTCAACCATCTTTTCCTAGGCTGGAGACTCTCCCAGGTAGGTGAAGAAAGAGAAAAGTAGGATTCCTGTGCATTTCCCAGCTACCATTTCAATAGCCTTGCCGTATAGAAGCACTTTTCCATTATGGTTTCCAACTTTCATCCCCAGCTGACTAATGTTTTCTTGCTCCCTCAAATGTCCATTCATTCTGCCTTGTTCCATGACATCCACCTCCTGGATATATATGTGGTGACCACTAGAATGATAGCACTGGAAGATAAACGTCTGATTTCACCATACCTTTGGGCCTCATAGTGCCAACACACTCAGATGATGCCCAGAGAGTTCAATTTTTTTAAAAAATGGTCACAATCTTTGATATAGCCAAGATATGCATTTTCACACATTCTGGCAAGATCCTGGCTATTCTTAAATTTAAAAATTAGTTTTCTTGCCTCTGGGATTCATAGTATCAGATGGAATCATATGAAGGTGCCTCTTGCTTAAAAGGTTATAATCCCTGATCTGGTCCAAGACCTCACCGATTCTAGAAATACGCAAGAGAGGAAGTCTTCTTTCTCCCAGGTATTAGCTTTTTTATATTCCCTTTGGCTGATCCCTCTTAAATAGTACTTCCAAAAATAATCAACAAAGTATATTGACATGTGCTTATCTTGTTCCATGGCTTCTCCTTCTGCTTACAGTCATAGCAGATATCTGACTGTATTGCCTATGTAACTCTGCAAAATGGCGTATACATGGTGTGGTGGTAAAAGGTAACCCCCACTCCGTAGACACATGAGCTGCATTCACTACCAAACCTATGAGATGCTCCCCCCTACATGTGAACTGCTTAAAGTGCCCTTGGAGGACAACATTCACAACAAGCTGAAGTGACCTTGAATGGCGACAGGGGAAAGAATCAGTCAGGAACCTGTGGCCTTGTTTATATTCACTAACTATTGTTATATTGTTTAGATTCACTGACCATATCTCAGAGAGAGTGTAGCTAGCATGCCAACCTAGTAGGAAGGGATAAATAATAATAAGGTCATCCAGATGGGTTTACCTGAAACATTCCAACGTCATGCTGTAATTTACACTGTGTCTGCCTTTTTCTTTGTCTTGCCTTTGCAATGTAGTAGGCCAAGGATACATAAGCTCTGGTTCTGCCTTTGCTAAGGGCTGCCCAACAAGCTGCCAGTGCTTTGCTGGGAGCCCAGTCTACACTGTTTCGTTGTTTGCATGCTAATAAAATTATGTTGTATCTTCAAAGTGATTTGGTTGCTTTAGGTGAGCCAGGTTTTGTCCCCAACAATGGATTAGGTTTACCAGACATCTGGCAAAAGGAGGATGTGTCCTCCTTTTTGTCCTCATGTCCTCCATCCAGCAGGCATAGCCTTAAAATGAAATATTGTCTGGCTTTTTGAGTGTCTTTTTTTAAAAAAAAATTGGACTGCTTTCACAACAGTAGTCATTGAAACTGTGGTGTATTGTGACCTTGTAAATTGTCTGCTTCTTTCTATCGATAGACTCGACAGCCTAGATTTACATTATTTAATTATTTCCTGATTCCAGCAACTGGCTTCAATCTAGCAGCTTTAAATGTACAATCACCATTGTCAGTAGATCACATGATCCGTCATACATTTTTATAGTGAAATTTGGAAAGCATGTTATCGTCGATTCTATATTATGGTTAGCATATGTTCTTGAAAATAAAGATTTGTTGGAAAAATACTACATTGAAAAAACAGTCTTTCTGATGCTGGAAAAAGTAATTTCATATATGTGTAGGCCTAAGTCCATTTTTTGGCAGTTCTTTGCTGTAATTTTTGTCGTGGATGCGAAGAAAGTTAAATAGTTAGGGTGTCCTCCTTTCCCATTTGTCCTCCTTTCCAGTTGTCCATGTCCTCCTTTGCCTGCTCAGCTCTCCGGTTACCCTAACATGGACAGTGCATTTACCAAGTGGCCAAGATCATAACAGCAGTATAGGCAATCAATACTAAAGCTAGGCTTCGATCACTCTAGGGAAGGGGACAGCAGGGAGTGGAGTGATCAGTACCTTGTTCTTGCTACTTTCACAACACTGCAGGCTAGCCAAGATCTGGCTCTCGATCGCTTGGACCCAGGAATCTCTCTCCTCGAAGCTGTTGGCCTCAAAGTGCCAAGTCTGCCCTGTGCTGGAGACGATGATGAACTCAAAGTTCTCTTCCTCTGTGGATGCAAAACAGCAGTGCTCAGGCACAATGATAGCAGTCCTTGGAACTGTCTTACAGTCACAAACTGGTGTTGGGGCATAACTGGGGGCCGGGGAAGGAAATTCAGAAGTTGACTGGACAAAGAAGATGCTTATTTTTCCAGCACAGACCCTTGGGGAAAGTAGTAGTAAGGATGTGATCTATCAATAATAGGGAGGTGATCTATCTAGAGTCTATGCAGGCTAACAGTTTAATTTCATAAACAGCAAGAACCTGAAAGAGTACTACAAGGATGCTGTCCTTTCTGGGGCAAAAGCCACACTTTTATTATTCTACCGGCATATGCCACTTCATCAATTCACATATTATTTGCTACTTTGAAATTATTTATAGAGCACCTTTAATTTGCAGAGCACTGTGCAATCCTTCTCTCTATGTGTTTGCTGACTACAGAACTGTAGGGTAAGTTGCTCACCCCTGAACTGGGGAGCTGAGCTTGGGTGTGGAAACACAATACACTGTACTGTGGATCTACAGGAGAAGAGAAGCTTCAACTTCTATCTTCCCAGTCTCACATTTGCTTTGAACGTGGATGGAAGGTGTGGCCACTTGAGACCCAGCCCTGAAGGCAAGCTCAGGAAGCAGGAAATGGGTACCTGCAAAGGGCTGATGGCCAGGCTTGCAATTCCTCCCCAGTGAGGGCTTTGACAGGAACTAGCCTGTGGTGGGGAGCAGAAGCTTCTGCAAGCAGGCCCTAGCCCAGAGTGGGGTGGGGTGGGGTGGGGTGGGGGAGCGTGCTGATCAAACAAGCAGAAATTCTTGCAATATCAGCTTCCCTTCTCTTGGTTTTGCTGGGAAATGAGGGCAGAGAAGTGGAAATTAATTGGTTAGAATGATAAAGGACCATGATCCATCTGAGATGAAGTGCTTAGGCATCCCTTAGATTGGAATAAGGCACTTTATTTATTATATTTTGCTACCACCGTTGACTTTGCTTTGCAGTTTCCCCCTTAACTCTTCAAAGACCACGGTGAGGCAAAAATTCAGAGTACTTCTAGTGCCATAATAATAATGGAATAATGAAATATTGGTTAGTGCTGGACTAGGAGCAGGGAGATCCAGGTTCAACTCTTCACTCAGTGGTCCATGACCATTTCTTCTGGGAAGAATACTTAAGATGATGGCAGTGGAGAGTCCTTGAGGGCCTGGGGAAAGGGGCATACCTGCATTGGCTTGAAGGGGCCAAGGAATGTCTGCCTGATCCCACTCCTCAACAGGTCACGTGACTCTGCCACCAACAGAATAGACTGTGAAATGTGTCAGATTTTACACACCTAGGAATTGCTACAAATTTATTACCGACTTGAGGGAGAAAACACTGCTGCCAGAACTACCAGGGATGATCTAGGCCCATCTCACTCATGGGTTGGGAACAAGATGAAGCCAGTGTCATGGGAACATGGCAGAATAAAGAATTCATGATCATACCATTCTTAAATGCAAATGGGGAAAGGCTCTCAAGCACCCCGGGCTCTTCTTTCTGTATCCATTTGTCTTTCAAGGAACCTGCTTGTGCATGCAAAGGATTGTGAAGCCATATATTCTCCAGCAAACAATCTGGAAATGTGAAGTGCAAGCTTCTTGGGCCTCATTGTTACATGCACAGGTAGGGAAAGTACACTGGGCTAGAAACAACATCAATTGTTGTGCCTGCATATGGCAGGAGACCCTGTTAGTATTGGGCAAGGTGCCTTTCAGGGAACCTACTTATCTTTTTATAGCACTTTTTATTTGCACTCTCAGGGCTCATCTGTGTGATCTGACTGATCGTCCCCCCAAGGGACGTCTGATAGTTTCAGAATCAGTTGAACATCTCCCATTCTGAAGGAATTCTGGGAACCCAGTGATTTCTGTGATACCCAGCATGGGAAAAATGGAGGCGGGGAGGGGGAAGGGAACCGTTTGTACAGCCCCTTGTTGGCCTGGGGATGGTTAAGCCAGAAACAAGAAGGGATATATCTTGAGCATCAGGGACAGACATCAATGCAGGGCGCACGTCACAAAGTAAGCACAACTGCATGCAATGGGTGCCATGGCACAAAAAAGAGCCCGCACCTGCCACCGCCGCTCATTACCTGTTTTATAAATATTTCTTAAACTACCAAAGGTTTTTAATTTCCACATTTTACGCTTGGCTGCAGAGGGTCCGGAGGGGAAGCAGGAAGCGAGAGGCAGAGAAAGAGAAGGGAGGAAAAGAAGAAAGGGGAGAAAGTTCAGAGGAGGAAAAGGAAAATAACAAAAAAAAGCAGAGGCTATCAGAACTCCCAGACCCATGGGACAGGGTGCCAGTGGGGCGGTGGATGCGTGAAGCGCTGCGAGGGACAGTGAGGGAGAAAGCTGTGGAGGGCACGGCCCCCTTGGAGTGCAGATTCTGAGCAGAAGTGAAAGGCGTGGCAGCAGCTGCTTAGTGCAGGCAGAGCTAAGAGAAAAGGATGGGAGTGGGCAGCTCCTCGGACCGTGGCCCAGCCCCTTCTCAAAAGGAGAGGATGGTTCCTTTCCTTTCCTTTCCTTTCCTTTCCTTTCCTTTCCTTTCCTTTCCTTTCCTTTCCTTTCCTTTCCTTTCCTTTCCTTTCCTTTCCTTTCTTTCCATGGGTTGCAGTAGGCAGCCTGGCCTCCCCACAGCCTTGACTAGGGTGCTTCTCACCAACTTCCCCCCATGGGCTCCCCTGCTACTTCCCGCCGGACAGGCTTGCTCAAAACCTCCATCCCTCCTTTGAATAAGCCCTGGGAGGCATCCTTTGGGTTTTGTGCCTTCGGCCCCCCAATGGTCTTGGTCATGTTTCAGTTCAGACAATCAGTCACCGTTCCAGCATTCCTCCCTTCCTGCAACTGAGAGACAGCACCCAGGGCAACCCCCAGAATTGTGCAAATGCTTAACCCTGAAGCAAACACGATCTTCCCGTCCTTGATCTTCCCGTCCTTTTTGGGGAAAATGTTAACTACATATTTGAATGCCTTGGCTAATTCAAGACGCTCTTATCTGCCCAGTGGAAGAGAGTCGTTGCTCTCTCCTATTACCCCAAGGAGATATGATCTGGAATCTAAGACCAAAAAATGGCCCTGTTTATTGCAAACGTTAGCAGGGCAGCACTTTGGTTGGTTGGCTGTTTTTTTTTTTTTCCCCTTCTTTAAACTGGTCTTGTAAACAGACATCTTAAAGATACACATTATGAATGGCCTTAATTGCCATCTGAGACCAAAGCCTTTTTCTGCATTAAAAAATGGTTTCTTTAACACTCACAGGCATAATTTTGAATTCCTGTAATGTTATCCTGTAGGCATTAAAAAAAAAAAAGCCACTGGATCTCTCAGGATCCCCAGCTGGCCTATCACCTGAACATTCCGGCAGCTATGAACCCAGCATGGAGAGAGCACCAAGCTGGGGAAGATCACTTTAGATAGGCCACTCTAGTTTTTCTTTCTTTCTTCTTGAAAGCAAAGGCTTTCTAGCATGCCCAGTAGACCAACCTGAACTGTGGTCAAAAAGATTTATTTCAACCTTAAGAATCACGACCGTCAGCAGTGGCCCTTACCTTCGGCCTGCCCTGTGGATCCCTCCGTCTTTGATGGTGTGGTGAGCTTCTTCCGCCTGTGTTTCTTTCTGTCGATCATAGGAGATGGAGGGGGGTCTTTGCCACTGCTGCCAGGACTGGACAGTCCTTCTGCAGCCATGGATACTTCTGCAGGAATATGTAGGAGAAACAGAGGATGTGTCTGTGGGCTGATCTTTCTCGCTGGATCAGAGAGGCCAACCTTCCCTAGCACCCTCTCTGCTCCGTGGGGGTTTCTTGGAACTTACCAGCCTTGGAAGAAGATACGGAGCGCTGCAAGCGCTCAGGTTTGCCTAAGAGCTTGACTGCCGGGTCCACTGGAGGATTCAGCAGGCCCGGACTAGGGCTAGCTATGGAGAAAAAGGAATGAGCGCATGAAACTGCTAGAATCTTTGTAGAGCTGGTTTGGTCTTGAGACAATATTTTACATCTCAGATAGGTTTGATCATAAGTGCCCTTTTACCAGAGGTCTTTTAAGATGGAGGAGTTGGGAATGCAACCAGGTGTCTCCTGCATGCAAGTCGCATGCACAGAAGTAAGGTAAGGCCTGTAGTGGGATTCTAGTTTCTTTGGCCAGAGCTGAAGGACGAGGAGAACACCACCATCCTGGAGGCGGTTATTCAAGCAGTGCTTTTATGCTGAACTTTGGTGAAATCTCATCTTACCTAGGATTGAGCCTGAAGCTCAATGTGCTATAGTAGCACATCTCCCACTGGTTGGCAGAAGCATTCCATGGGATGAAGCTAAATGACTAATTAGTCCCTTTAAGGAGATTCTGAAGAAAAGTTCATAGCTGCTCATCCTATACGGTTGAGATGAACCAGCTTTACTTCCTCACAGGGCCCCCTCAATCCACCTCCATCCATCTTTTAAACATTATTTTTATTTTTCCAGACTTATAAGGCTTTCTCATTGATTCTGAGCAACGTGCAGTTCCCATCTTTGTAAATTCAGATGACAAACCAATAATTAAACATAGTCATATAAATAACAGCAGTAGAGCAAATCAATAGGAAAAAAAAGTAAAAAAAAGTTTAGAAACCCAGGAATACCACAATCAATAAACCAAAAATTGAAATACCCTTCCTCACCAGAGGGAACAGTAATAACATTCCAGGCTCATGGAACAGCCAAGTTTTAATGGACTTTCTAAAAGTCAGGAGGGAAGGGCTGTTCCAATGTCCAGAGGTGAGCTATTCCAGAGGAGGGGGGCAATAACTGAAAAGGCAGCTTCCAAAGTCCTTGCAGATGGCCATCTCTGAGAAGAGGGACTTGGACTGAGCCCACTGCTCAGTCCCCAATTTTACTGCCTATGAACAAGACAGCAAAAACAGGTGGGCATTTGGGTTCACCCTTCATTATCCCAAATCACGAAATTCTAGCCGCCACTGAATGGAAAGGTCTCCTCTAGAGGTCGCTGTTGGATTGTATTGTGCATGATTTCTGCACTGGAGCTAGCGGGAACACACAGCTTTCCAGCTTTATGAATTAAAATTGGACGTGTACTTGCTTTAATAAATGTTCTAATTCGAACAGGCAGCATTAGAAATTTTATGCCAAACTTGATTTGGTTTGATGTTAAGCTAATTGTCCAGACTGAACATTAATCAGAATAATTTCTATTTGATTAGAATTTTTCCATATAGTAGGAGAAATGTGCAATAATGGCCAAAGGCCAGGAAAGTCAATGATTTTGCATCATTCATGGGCCAAATTTGTGTGGAAGAAGAAGCAGCCAAAGTGGCTGTCTTTAGAGATGCCATTCCTTATCCTATTTCCAGCAGAAAGCATTGAAAGACAAGTGTGAGAAAGCTAACACTTGATAATCTCCCAAAATATGTCTCTAGACTCACAGATATACCCACAAATACACACATCTACACACAGTGTGTAGATGTGACATATACATGGTTGGTCATGACTTCCTACCCTGGGCACACTAGGGAAAAAAGATGCATGCTTGATCATCCCACGTGACTCTCTGGTTTCTCTGTCTTCCCTCCTTCCCTCCCAGGTAGAATTCTGTAACGTTTGAGGAAGCCTTCCGTTCAAAAACACCATCTGTTGCTCTTCCTACTTTCTTTCTATCATATTCTTCTGGGCTGTTGCCAAGTAAGGTTAAAGAAAGTGTGACTACTGGCAGATCATATTGCAAAAGGAGGAGAGGAGGAGAAAGAGTGTGGGTACTCTCCCTCCTTACTCTTACACAGAAAACTGTAAGTGAAGGAATCGCAGCGCATCACAGTGTGAATTAGCAAACAGTAATTATATACGCACCTAGGCTGGCAAAACAGCTCGTGGAATTCCTCCCTTGGCTGTTTTACCAGGGTCTTAGTTCTCACTGTCTTGGCAGCATGGGTGTTGCCAAAGAAACCCCACTTCAGTGTGGCAGTACTTTTCACCACGGTGATGCCAAGCACCCCCATGATCCTCTCACCCTATGTCTATTTTGCCCGAGGCAGGACAGATCACTTACTACTGCTGTCCCCAACTCCAACGCTGCTCATATCTTTCACCAAGCCATTGATACTTGAGGAGGCACCACAGGCAGAGATGGCTCTGGGTGGGCGTTTGCCAGGTACCTTGACAGTGGTACGAAGTAGATCCATTTCTTTCCCATGGGTTCCATGGATATAATCCTGGGGAGGCAAGAGGAATGGGTGGGAAAACTTAGGAGGCTAGACACCATCTAAGCATGGCTTTTGAAACTGTCTTACTTTGGAATTCTTAATAAGTCCCATTGTTGGACTGAGAAGGTGTCTAGAACTTGTATTCCTTTCCAGGTCATGTCAAACGCTATTCCCATCAATTTAAGGCATTAAAAAAGACTAGCCCTAGAACAGCCCTTTCTGTTTTCATGCCCTTGGATGCATTTGATTACAACTTCCACCATTCCCAGCCATCATGGGGGTTGGCAACAGATGCAGTAAGTGGAAGAGAGTGGATTTGGGGAGAGGAGTTAAATCCAAAAGATATCTTGCACGTTTTATAAATCAAAGATTTTCCACTCTATTCCTCAATCTGTTTTGACCTAAAGAATCCATGTAATGAAGCATACAGTAATATAATTGAGGATCCTTTGCTTTAGTGGGGGTGGGTGAGGAGATCCAGAAGAGCTCTTGCCTTCGACAAACTTAGCCCCAATTTCCCATGGAATAAAATGAGAATCATAAAGAGACTGCTGTGGAATACAACGCCAATCCATTATGATGAATATAACACAATAAGGAAAAATAGGCTGGCCAAGGATTATGGGAATTGAAGTCCAACACTTCTAAAAGGCACTACATTGGGGAAAGGCTGCATGACAAGGTTTTAGTGCTTCCGTTCCTGGCAGAAAAATAATGGATACGGATACATATTTCCTGCAGTTACAATCAGCCAGTTTACTTCATGAGCCATGCTCTTCTCCTGAGGGCCTCCTATCAAAACCCTACCCATTTGCTTATTCTGTGAATCAGATCAGATCATCTAGGGACACCTGTCACACTCTGTTCTACTGACAAGGAACTTACATTAATGCTGGGGTGATAGAAGAGAAGCCCATTGCTGGATAGAGTGACATACTTTTTCTTCCACTCCTTGTTCAGAGAATTCCCACTTCGTTTCAGCAAGAAGCTCTACCAGGAGACACAATGGTCATTACCCAAGCCACAATTTCATTTCCTTGTTTACCCTAAAACCAAAGCTGCTGGGGCAGCCTACACAGTAAAATGAAACAGTAAGATTAAATGCAAGACAAAATATTTAAATTAAAAACAGCTAAGGAAGGAATACAAACCACAACGATATTTGAAAAGATGAAGCAAAGTTAGAAATGGAGATGTTTTAGAAAACAGCTTTGACTGGGGGGAGAGGAGAGAAGAAAAAACGGAAGGCAAGAAAAATAAAAAATAAAATAAAATAAAAGCCCCCAAAGCCTGGGAAAATGAAGCAATCTTTGGGTAGCATTACAGACGTAATGAAGATTGCCCTGTTCCCTCCCTTGCTATGACAAAGCATTAAGAGGACTGACAAACAGTGGTCAGCCCAAACTGGAAGGTTTACCTGTTTGATGGGTATAGCTCTCCCACTGCCCGTGTTGTCACCTCGGCTATCCAGGCTCCGCTTCTCTGTATCACTCCCTCTGCGATTCTACAAGGAGACAATTCAAATGTCTTGGTTGGGTTTATGAACTGCACTAAACCATGGCTTTATTTAACCATGATTTGCTTTACAAACCATAGCTGCACAAACCAATACAGTGCCCAATATGTTGCATTGGTACCCTTTATTCAGAGACATTTGTGTAAAAATAATTCAAACTGATGCAGTTTAAAACTGGGATACACATGGAAATACCATCTAGATTTCTGAACTTCAGCTTACATCTGCTCTAGCCAATGGAGGGCACCAGGTTGACTTCCCCTAGCTTAAAACAGCATCACCTTGACAGAGTAATTCTATAAACCAGGGACATGTGATCCTCTAGATGTTGTTGGATCTGGAGCAAGTCCCACTACCCCTACTGTTGGCTGTACTGGAAACTGAAGAGGATGATGGGACTTGAAAATGGTAACACATATTGCCTATCTCTGAAATCTCAACATGTAGTTTCTACTGAAGTCCATTCCTCCCCTTCACTGGGATTCAGCAAGGCTTAATCCTAGGTGTGCATGTAATGGCTGTAGCCTTAGAATGCCTTTTAGAGTGCAAACATATGAATTGCTTTTATGGAAACTTCCTTTGATAAACAATCCCTGCCCCCAATGCTTTGGGGATGATATTTACTTGCACGCTTTACCACTGCCTTATGTGAATTGCCCAAAATATACCCAAGACTTTTCAGTGGCCTTGCATTGCAGAGGCAGATTGGTAATAATGAGCAAGCTGCCATTTCTGTAAAAAGACACTTTTTGTGTCTTCAGCATTATTTATCTTTTTCTTGGGACCCCCTGAGAAGAATCTGAGCAATGCCACCTGGTCCCAGGAACATTCTTTAAAAACAGACGTTGCTTTAACTGAATAATAAGCATCACAGATTCTGATACAGGAATCTGACCCCTAGGAGGCACCAAGCTGGGAACAGCCTAAGAGGCAATAAGGGAAGAGACTTCAAGCATTTTGGATACCAGGAATGATGGAGATGACTTCACACCACACTTGATTACTCAATTACCCGTTTTTCTGGGTATGTGCTACACACTGAACAATAAAGTAATCAAACGGGCTGGGCTTGTACAATAGTCTAGGTCCCAAACAAACCTAACCAAGATTAAAATTGATCAAGCTTAGCATGTTGTACAAATACACTGTTAAATTTGTAACCGACCTTGCTCTGAGAACTCAGCTGCTGAGCTGGTCTACCATTAGATCACTTGTGAAAAGAGGATTGGGAGACCGCAGAATCCAGGAAAGAGCTATCCAGATTGGAAGCTGCCTTCCACAAGAACTCAGGGCAGAGAGAGATCCATCCCAAAGCTGAGCCATGGACCCTGCCCTAAATGACCAGGAGAGGAAAGCACCTCTTCTTCACACTTGATAAATCAATGAAACAGCTGGAATTTGGCCAAACTCCCTTAAAATGGTTGTGGTTGGTTTGACCTAGCTAAGGGTTTGGGTCATCCAGCCCTTGGCTTTCTTTCCTTATTCTCCCATGCTGATGGACTTCCAGAGAAACTCACAGTGAACAGGCTGGTCCGGCGTTTGGTCCCACGTTGCAGGGAGCTGGGTGTGCCAATTATAGCTGAAGCCTCACTGCGCAGCTCCCGATGGCTGATATTGGGTGTGGAAGGCAGGGATGAAGAGTAGTCGCTTGTATGGCCACCGTTACTCGCCTAGAAAAGAATCCAGGAAGACTTATGGGGAAGGGAAGGAGGAGGACACCAGTATGAGAATGTCCTTCTTGATTTCTAGGTGTTCATACACAATTCTGGTTTGTTTTTAATATGCAAGAGCATTCACTCGGGTAATCGCTCAAATGTAATCTGATGCAATATAGTCTAGGAAGTATTTTCACATTTCATCAGTCATTTGCCAAATCTCAGTTGGTATGATCATAGGATATCAAGATGTCTCCAAAAGGTACAGCTGCTTCCCAAAATATTTTCAGCCATTCCACCTGCTGCCTGAACCCAAGAATATTTGAATTAATTGCATATAACCAAACACTTCCTGCCATCATCATCATTTTTGTTATTCCTCCATGCCCTCAAACTAGTATTTTGAACGTGCCTCTGCCTGTTGTTGTGAGGCCCTTGGAGCCCAGGAAGAGGCTATCCTTGGCTGAAAATGCCCCATGGAAGAAAAGGCAGACCAGGGCTTCTGCATTCATACAGTTGCCACTGAACCAAAGGTAAGTATCTAAGAGGTAGGCCCTAACTTTGCACAGAAACTCCTAGTCTTGAGTTCTTCTTTACTGTTATGTTGTGTTTTTAATATGTCCTGTATGCCTCCTTGAGTGGTTTGACAATTAGGCGGCCTTACAGTAATATTAACAACCACCACAATAATATGCTCATGCAAAACTGTGGATGTTTTAATAATATAACAACTATGACTGTCTTTGACTTGTACAGGATCAGGGGAATGCAGAGTTAGGCCCACTCCAGCTTGTCTGGGAAAATGGAAGACCTTTAAGGCATTATTTTTCTTCTTTGTTCTTCTATCTATTGGTGTCCATGGCTGCACATCTCTGCTATGGGGGTTTCCCTTTCAGTTGGGCTCTTCAGATGATGATATAAAGCTAGAGATGTAACTCCCCCTTTAAAAAACAAAACAAAACTGGAAAGGTTAAGGGGAAAATACTCTTCTGCTTTTTGCTTTTCCTTTCATTCATGCCTCTTGGGGAAAAAACACAACATTTTTCTCCCAATTCTATTTTCCCTCAAGCCTTCACACCTTTACATATTGCAGAGAATTACCCCAGAACAACCCTTGATCAACACTACACCCTTGTTAATCCTGTTATTCTTCTCATCTGCCATGGGATGGCACAGGGACTGCAGATATCGATTTTGATTTTTTTTTGTTTGTTTTAGTTTTTTTTTCATTAGCCCTGGAATTAATTTTGGGTTTTTTTTCATCTTTAATTTTTGAAAAAATTCATTCAGCATCTCTGGTTCAAAGTGCTGAAAAAACACCGAACTTACATAACTGGTATTATGGTAGCCAAGTTTAAGGACTTATTTACCACACCTGAGCAGCTACATTACATGATCCAAATTTTTTGCAGTCCATGTGCAATCTGTCTGTTGTAAAGCCACAATGTTCCACTCCAATTTTTTCAATATTACGCCTGAGCACCTGGGCTGGCATTGCAATTCCACCACAGGCAGATGCTTTTCCAATCAGTTGGTCCTTAAGACCTCTTTTCCACCTTCTGCACTGACCCTACATGGAAGTGTTTTAAATCTCTGAGAAGAGAGCCCAGTGCCTTTACACCATGCCAACTTCTTCCTTCCCAGGGGCTAAGGACCTGGGTCATTTACACCCCCTCTGAAGAAATGTGATTCCTGAAAGGGAGAAAAAGACACGGGCTATGTTTGTACAAAGTAGATTCTACCCACCGGTGTGGAAACTGCTGAATGGCTGGGTGTGCTGGGCAAAGATTTGCAAGATGCAAGGAGCTGCTGCTGTTTCTTCATGTTCACAATCTTCTGGGCAACTGGAATTGGGAAGGGAGAGAGGTGTAGGAAAGTCAAATAGTTGCTGAGGCTTTCCAGCTGCCCCATCGAAGAGTAATGGAGAGATCTGACATAAGAGAATTGGAATTCTGTCCAACCCATAATTGTTCTTCCCTCAAGGACCAGGTCACAAACTGAACACATTTCTGGTAGCCAATCCGCTCACTCTATGAACCCATCCAGCAATTATCACTTCAATGTGTTGTGATCTTGTACTAGAGGGAAGTATGTGAGGACACAGCCATATGTGTGGGACTGATCGTATGTGTCTTTCTGTGCAAGTCCCTGATGGGAAGATAATGATCAGGTTAAAATAAAACACAGTGTGATCAGCCCCACTCACATAGACACATTCTGAAGATGTTCTTCCCTGCAATCCTGGGTTGCACCATAAACATGCAACTGCCACATCCTTTACAATGTTGAGCTGATTGTTCTTGCACTTTAGACATTTTGAAACAAAAAACACTCGGGGAACAGCAGAACTGCCATGGCAGGAATGAAACTGTATGCAGGCCAGTAACTTATCTACACAATGACTTATCTCTGCAACTGCCAGCCTGAAGTGCTCCCACATATCCAGCGTTAGCAGCTTGCCTCAATATTTTATAACAGGAGCATATCCTCTGAAAGTGTTAAGGACCTCACTGAGCCCTGCCTTTGCCTTCAGTTACTGAAAGTGATAGGTCTCATGGGGCTGCTAGCATGCAAACTCAACACAGGAGGAAGAAGACAAGGAACAGCCCTTGGTCAGGTGTACACTCCCATAGTCCAGTTGTATCATGTGTACTGAACTTTTCCCATGCTCAGAATGGCTAAGAAGCAACATTGTGGAAACAATGAGACAGGCATAGTTTTGCGGAGGGGGGGGGGAAGACAACAGAAACCCATGATATCACCTTGAACCTATGGATCACACACATTTAAACACCAATAGAAAAACGTCCTAAGGAGGCAGAAACTGTGCACACGCTGTTGAGCATGTGTGCTATGTGCCTTGCTAATATAATTCATCATGTCTGTAGCAGACAATAGGAATCCATCATATCTGGAGCAGAATATCAAAGATATATCCTCCTGCTGTACTACCTGCAGAGTTGGTATACGCTGGGGAGAACTGCTTATTCACACACCACTGTTTTTATTGCCATGAAGTACAGCCAGGCCTTCCTCTCTTCTACCCGCTCAAAAATACATTCTAGGAAGATACTCACCTTCACTGAAGACCCGATCAACATTCAGCCCATAAGTGGCACAGGTCTCATAATAGAGGCAACGGCGCATTTCTGTACATAGAGCCCGGGCTCGGGAATCTTCAATCACACGTGGATTGCTGGCACTGATTTTGTCTGAATGAAAGAAGAAAAAAGATAACGCCCCCCCCTCCATTTGTGAGCTGGAAAGAGATACACTGAAGAACAGAGATTTCTTCAAGTGATCTTGCAGAGTCTGCGATAAAGATTATTCCTCTGCTCTATTAACACCATGCCACATTGACTTCATTCAAACAAAAACACATTCTTGTATTATTGTCATTCTGTAAGCTTTTAAAGCTAGGTGAACCATAAAACCAGGAAAAGGGCAGTATTTATTTGCTTTGCATTAATTTGATGCATATTATGTCTGCTGTTCCATCAATGCTATGAGTTTTCAAAGTATTCTGCTGTGTTATTGCCGGACAGTGTTATAACTTCTACTGCTCTCCACTTCCCTCTTGGTTCCTGACCTGTTTGTCTCCTTACTCCAGTCCAGCTCTTCTCAGCAGCACTTTGGCACAGGTGGACGTGTGACCTAGAAATAACAAACCTGTTTGGACTTAATTTTGCTCCTATGCAGTCTGCCTGGAAGGATCACACTGGCTTCTTTGGAAGGCATCCAAGTCAAAGCCTTTACATGGCATTACCAAACCCACTTCAGTGTCTGGAAAATACTAGGGCACTGGGTCATTGCTAAGTAGCTGCAGATGTCTTGAATGCTAAATGGAATTCCTAGCTCAAAGTGAGGTCTCTAGTCCCACTACGGAGCATTCAGGAATCTACGTATTCCATTACTGCACCCGTATTCAGGAAGTGGAGGTAGATCACTTCTTCTTTTTATGAGTATTTAAAGTAGAGCAATCACTGGGTAGAATCTCATAAACCACAGAGGGATTTCCAGTGATCAAATATAAGTAAAGCCTCTTTGATGTACAGAGCTGTCCATAAGTAGCACAAGTGGAAACCATCATACAATTTAAAAATACATATGAAAATCTCTGAGAGCACAGAATTTCAGTTATATGGCACATATTTCAGAGTCTCTTTAAAAAGAACTGTAAATGGATTAATTAAGAAAAGAATATTTAAATAACACTGGAGAGCAACTTCATCATTCTGGGGGACCCTGGCAGAAGGCTATCTATGCCTCTCCAGGGAAGAGTGAATGATGCCAACAGTGAACAAGAGATGCAGACAGAGCACTGCAGAGTGCTTTACTCTAACAACTCATTCAGTGGAGCTCAGCTACACATCAACTTCATTATGCAAGTGAAGGATGTCCATTTTCCATGCTAATATCACCCAATCTCTTGACCTACCTATCTACCAATTTTTTTATATAAATCCTCTGGGTTAAGTCCAAGTAGCATCTTGGATCCATACTCAAGATTAGAACTCCATAGCTCTTCTATAAAGGTATGTGCTGAATGGATGAAAAAACCATCCACTCTTTTTGTAACCCAAACAGTCAGTGAAAAGCCAAAGGGTGAACAGCCAATCTAGTAATGAATAAGGGGGAAGACCAAGGCCACAGCATGTCTCTACCTGAAGGTCCTACTCCATTTCCTTCTCTTATTTAAACTACTCCCAGTTGGCCTTATGCCCCTGTAATGCTCCCTTAACATCTTCTGGAGCCCCTGGAGAGCATTTCCTGAAGAGAGGCACCCTCTCCCCACTTACCCTGAGTGCCCACCAGGGCAAGAGCCATGTCAGAAACGGCACGGTAGTTGGTGAGAAGCCCGTAGAACTGAGTCAGCTCTTGGAAGCTGGCCTCATTCTCCAGACTGAAGACAAAGATGACTGCATCTGCCCAATTTGCAAACTGTAAGCGGGAAGGGGAAAAAATGGGAAAGATCAGCACCAGGCAGTTCCCAAGTAGGCTGCCTTTATTCCTCACTCAGGATGGATCTGAGAATGAGAGAATGATACTGGCTCCAAATTCTCCCCGACTAGAGAGATTATGAAGACAAAGATTTGAGAACTCTACATCAAGCCAAGCTTTTATTTCTTGATTCCCACAATTAGCACTGCACAGAGTTAAATTACACAT